TAAATTAAAAAAATTATAATAACGAAAACTACTCACAGTTTATATGAGCAAACAAAAAATAACATAAATTAATTAAAACAACTTGTTAAATTAAAAACTAAAAACAATAAAGAAAGGAACTTTCATGTAAGTAAATAATAATATATATGAACTGCCATATAGCTATATGATAATATGTTATCATGTTAGAATAAACAAATTTTTAAAAATATAATAACTAAAACGTCTCACAGTTTATATGAGCTAACAAAAAATAACATAAATTAATTAAAACAACTTGTTAAATTAAAAAAAATTAAAAGAATTAACCAAGGAACTTCTCATTACTAAATATTAAATTTTTATGTTAAATACATGCTATTTTATAATTTTAAAAGAGAACTATCATCTTCAGAATTATCACCAGGTTCATCATCAATCCTATTACAGTTAGTATAGCTCGGATAGGCGAATCCATGGGTATTGTTATTAATGGCAAGAGATATAAAACTTTCAGGATAGGTATAGCTTAAGGTAGAGTTGGCTATAGTGTTGGAGTGAGCTGTATAAGAGTTGGTAGACAACGGTTTCCCACTACTTCGTCCATGGCCATGTGAATAATCTGTCAAACAAATAGTAAATATTAGTGTAGGAAATTATATTTATAAAGTAGGTATATTATAATCCCTGCTACAATGAATATGACATTTTGAAGGTTTATATTTAGTACACAATTAAATTATAAACAAGTAAAATTAAAGATATTTTCTGTAAAAAAATATACTATATAAATATACTATTATAAAAAATATCTATTTTTAAATTCAATAAAAAATAAATTATTACCAATGGAATTTTKCTGTCCTATTACAGTATCAGGAGTTAAATGATTTGACAGTCCTTTGGATAGTATTGAGTTAATCAAAGGTTCTGCCATCAGATACTGGGTTTCACTCATTTTCCGCACCTTGGCAGCAACACAAATGCCAAAAGCCTCATACTCGTCTATATCTTTGCAACCCTGAATAGCTTCTGTAATAGTTTTGACAAACAATTGGCTGTCATCCTTCTTTCTTTTCTTTTGTGTTTCTTTAACAGCAAAATAGGGTGAAGGTATGGTTGAAGTTTCCTAAAATATATGTAAAATTATATCAACTAAGCAGATAGTTAAAACTACCTACCTATTAAATAGATATATATTAATAATATTAGTATAACAACACAAACGAATCACCAATTATAACTTTGAATATTTTTTGTTATTTATAGTTTCCAAAAACTAAGGGTGAATGGAAAGAAATTAGCAATGGATTTAAAAATCGCTGGCAAGTTATAAATTGTGGAGGTGCTCTCGATGGGAAACATATAAGGATAATACCACCAAAAGATTCTGGAGCCCACTATTATAATTATAAGGGATTTTATAGTATAGTTTTAATGGCATTGGTAAACTCAGATTATGAATTTATATTTGTTGATGTTGGCAAAAATGGTAGGTGTTCTGATGGGGGAGTCATAGAGCACACCAAATTCTACCAAAAATTACAGAATGAGACACTAAATTTGCTTGAAAACGATGACACTGATGAAAATTTAAATTTTACATTTTTGGCTGATGATGCATTTGCTTTACACAAACATGTAATGAAACCATATCCTGGTAGCAATATTTCACACGAMGAAAGAATTTTCAATTACAGACTATCAAGAGGCAGAAATGTAGTTGAAAACACATTTGGACTTTTGGTAAGTAGGTTCAGAGTTTTGCATACAGCCATACACATGTCACCAGATAAAATAAAGTTAGTTGTTTTAGCAATTTGTACATTGCATAATTTTTTAAGAAGAACTAGTACMTCTTATGCATCAAACATAACATTTGATAAAGAAGACACAAACACTCATGAAATAATTAGAAATGGAGACTGGAGAAATGAAGCTGTTAATATCCTAGAAATCCAACCAATTACACTACGAAATTCCCCTGCTAACGCAAAAGACAACAGAAATAATTATAAACAGTTTTATAATGGAGGAGGAAAAGTTGATTGGCAGGAAGAAATGYTGCAAAAAGGAAAGGCATAATCAATAGTATTTTGGAATTCAATATAACTTATAATAAGTTTACCTACCTATTACCTAATARTATGCCTAACTCAAGTTACTTTAAATTAAAATTAAAAATTAATATCTATGTCTATACAATATTTTAAACTTTTATTATGACTTATGTATAATAAGTAACYTATTTGGCTACTGGCTATTCCATTTCCATCATTATTATAGTTTAGGAACAAAAATAGTAAGATCATATCATTAAAATAAATTATCATATTGTAATCAATCAGAATCTGAACATTATTGAATCAGGAAAACTAATTAGATACCAAGTATCATAATAACACATATTTTGCAGGTAGGTACTTGAACTTCCATTGATTATAAATAATATTATTTTTAATAGTGGGTACTACATGCCGGCTGTAAACGAGTTGTGTCCCAAATACTGAATTGCGTCCCTATGTTTTTTTCGGGTTACACGAATTGTGTCCC